TTTGTTCTGCTGTGCATAATGTCGCTATGGGTCGGTACCAACTCGATGGCACCTAACAACAACAACAACAAAAGTCAACACACACAAGTATGCATATACAAGATTCCTGTTTTCTTCAAAAAGTGAGCCTTCTAGAGGCTAAGTAACTGGGCTAAATTCATAAAGCATCTTAGGTGGCGAACTTGGATTTGAATCTAGTCTAGGTAGTTCTGATGTAGACATCAGACTCTTACCTACTGTGCTATCTCTATTGCTTCTCATAGAGATTTTGGCAACAACATTCTGACTTCAAACGAAATACTGATTGAGGCATTGATACGGAAGTTAAGAAATTGTAAAATATAGTGGTAGAAATAATAGTGAAAGGAATAGAATATGATGCCATTTTGAATAAAAATCACATCAAGTTTTAATCAATCTCAATCTCATTCTTGTGTACAAAACTTACCTAATCAAATTTAAAGGTTGTTCTTTGTAGAAATAGGCAAACCGTGCCCAGTTCTTATGAAGTACATATCTTTCATTGACAAGACTGGGAGGTTCTGATGGCTTCCAATATTGTCCCTACAGATATACAGGAAAAGGGAGTGTGAAAAACAAAGCTAAAGACAAAGGAGTAAATGAACATTGCTTTTATAAGAAGGTTAGTGACTGAGGCTAATCTCTTTACTTTGAGATTTGGATTTTAACATCCCATTAATATCATAGTATGGCATTGTATTATAAGCATTAAGCTGCTAATCACAAAATCAAGCATTCAAACCCACCAACCACTTTCAGAGAGTCCATGTAAGGCCCTGTTAATCAGAACCAACTCAAAGGCTTACAATATGAAAGTATTCAATAAATACTATGCAAACTATAAGGAGCACTGGTAGTGTAGTGGATTACAAACTAGGCTGCTAACATCAAGGCCACAGTTTAAATCGACCTGTCACTCCATGGGAGAAAGATGAAGCTTTATAAATCCATAAAGATTTATAGCCTTGAAATCCTAATACAGGTTCGCTATAAGTTGGTATCTACTCACCAACACAGTCACCACCAGAGCCACCATATAAACTATGTCAAAAGAAATGTATTTGTTCAATTCTAACACCTAGTTATGTAACATTACATATGATAGTTTAACACTGGCTTTACTCAACTTGTTCCTTTCATCTGCAATGTTCTCTCTTTGTTGTTGTTTTTGTTAGGTGCCATCAAGTTGATACCAACTCATAGCAACCCTATGTACACAACATAAAGAAACACTGCACAGTCCTGGGCCAACCTCACAATTGTTGCCACGCTTGAGCCCATTAATGCTGCCACTTTGCCAATCCACCTCGCTGGGGGTCTTCCTTTTTTTCTCTGCCCCTCCACCTTACCAAACATAATATCCTTCTCCAGTGACTGGTTCCTCCTGACAATATGTCCAA